ATTTATGATATTTCAAGTTTAAGATTCATAAAAGCTTTAGAGAACATTTTGAAAACCCGATCCCTCCCCTAAAAGAATAATGTACAAGATATGAATTTTAATGTAAAAGTTGTCGCTTGCGCCGATAAATAAGCAATATTTACTGCAATGTATTTAATTTTAATGTAATGCAGATGAAACGTAAGTCTTATTTATGGAGAAAAAATATCATATTATTAAAAAAAATTGTGTCATTTAGAATGAAAATATCTGCTTCATCAACTCCAGTCAACATATATTTTTTTTAATTTATAAATGTAAATATTGCATTTGAATTAACTACTTTGTATATTTAAATAAAGATGTACAACAAAAACCAGCCCCAACCAACCCCATAAATACCCCCTCCCCCAAAAACGGCTAAATAATAAAAAAAAAATAATAATAAAAATACATAAGTTGTTAAACTAATGAAAAAAACTTTGAAAATTTGATTAAGTATAGGGAAAACTTTGAAACTTTAATTAACTATGGTAAAAACTTTGGAACATTGATTTACTATTATAGTAAAAACTTTGGTACTTTGATTTACTATAGTTAAAACTTTAGAACTTTGATTTACTATAGTGAAAACTTTGGAACTATGATTTACTATAGTAAAAACTTTGGAACTTTGATTTACTATAGTGAAAACTTTAGAACTTTGATTTACTATAGTAAAAACTTTGGAACTTTGATTTACTATAGTAAAAACTTTGGAACTTTGATTTACTATAGTGAAAACTTTGGAACTTTGATTTACTATAGTTAACTATAGTAAACTATAGTTAACTATAGTTTACTATAGTATTTTTTTGTTAGGGATATTCCGAGGGGGCCAAGATTAGCTAACATACTTAAGCATAAAGGGAAAATTAAATCGTTTTTATGCTAAAGTCGTCTGTATTCAAAAGGTACGCTTATCTACAGATTGGTTTCATAAATTTAAAGCATTGATTTAGCTTACAATGGTATATAATTTGGAGTATTGGACAGGTAGACATGAGATTGGGATATTGAATGCGATGTCATTGAAAGCAAATAAAAAAAATAGATGATTGTTCCCAAATGCATCGACCAAGGGAATACAAAGTTGAATACCACGTCGATAACATTTGATCTTTGTAGAAAACACATTCTTTTTTTTTAATTTAATTACTACAATAAATAAAAGTGGTCAGCTCGTTCTGTAGGCTAACCTGTCTATTCAGAAATAAAAATGGTCACACACACTCTAAAAATAATCATTTTTTATTCTACAAAGAAGAAGGCATTTTTTCATTTACACATACAAACTGTATTAACCGCCAAGTTTCATGACCCCCCCCCCCCCCCCCCTTTCCAATACACCTACAATTATGAGACAATCTGATTAAAATCAGATCTTTGTTACGCTCCGAAATTCTGATGGTCGCTGTACAAAGATCTGATCTTTGTACAGCGATCATCAGAATTTCGGAGCGTAACAAAGATCTGATTTTAATCAGATTGAATTATGAGACACACTTTTTTTTTCTTGAAATAGGCATTTTTCTCCATTTGTCATTATATATTACAGGGCTGCACAAGGTACTGAAAAAGGGACAGTGCTTTGAGTGAATGTGTTATCCATGTATCTGCTAATGAAGCAGATCCCCCAGTTATTATACTCATGAAGTGTGACAACTTCCAACTTCCAAGTTATTAATGACGGAACTCCATTTAAATCAGGTACAAGTTAAAGTTTAGGCTGCACAATTCTTTATTACAATATTCAAAAATTAATAATTCAGGATCAAGTTCACACAAGCTCACATTCCATGGTTGCACTTACAGCACCATTATGCAAGATAAATTTGTTATGATACATGTTCATGTTAAATAGTCAAATTCGATTGGTTTAAAAAAACATTTGTTAACAAGTACTATTACCATACTGCATGCCAAACATTACATACCAATGGTTGAAAATGCATGACTACGGGTAACAGTATATACAGTAATAAAAAAATGTTAACTGTGCAGAATTTTTGCACGTTCGTTTCACCATGATGTTTTCTTTAAAATGCATTCTATAACAAGAAAAATATTACCTGTTTATTTTGGGTGATGTGAAATTCTTACCCCTTAAAAACCATTGCTGACCGAGGCGAGGTCAGCGATGGTTTTTTTGTGGTATAACAATTTCACGTTATCCTACTAAACATGTAATATTTTTACGTTATATGTACTTCTATTTGTAAATGTTAATGGCTGTGAAAAACATAAATATTTATAAATTAGTAAAATCAATTTAATACACTATAAATACACAAAAGGACAAATTTGTACATGATTCTCTATGATTAGGCTAATTAGTTTATATAAAGGATGTAAATGGGCATGCTGTATCATTGTTAATATTCAAGAAAGTGTTCACTGTTTTTCTTGTAGATCCTCCTTTCCATCTGATGTTTTCCAGGTTTTTGTGAAAAGTTCTCTTAAAAATGGCACCATTCAACTACAAATACTATGTCAGTGGAACTGTGATACCAATCAACTGCTTATGACACTGTTAATTGGCAGAGAATTTTTTTTTTTTATTTGTGACAAGCAATCTGTTTCAAACATTTTATACCTGCAAATTGGTACATGTACTTCATGAAATGCTTGAAGGATGCTAAAGGCTACTGAAATTCCAAGCCAGATGAAATTCAAAAGGATTGATACAAAAGTCATTTAAAGTTTTCTATTCTTAGTGATGAGTGTTTTTCAGGATGCCCTCTGATATCATAGGTACAAATGGTCACTGTCCTTTGTTAGTTACACATGCAGACAACTTATTAAGGCAGTGATATAAGTAGCTCGAAGTGATGCTTTATTGTTTTCCTCAGATTTATAACCTGGATTGATCTCTGATGCAGTAATTTAAAGCCATGTCTTTTCACTGTCACAAAGTACTGAAATAAAAATAATTTTGATTAAAATATTTTTTTTAATTCACATCATTAAATTTTTAAGCTACAGAAATTCAAATTAAAACATGATTGTGACGTAAACCTTTTGTTTGTGTTGTCGATTCTATAGCTTAATGTTGAGCTAACTCCTCAAACAATCCATTAAGTTACCTGTAAGTGTCCATTCTTTTTGGAAAACTGTCCATTCTTTTAAGAATGGACAGTTTTTTCAAAAAGAATGGACAGTTAAAACAAACAGAATGGAGAGTTACAGGTAAACTTTGGAATGTGTTCAAGAGGGAAACGAAAACAAATATATTAAATACTTTTTAATTTACATGTAAATAACAAAAAGAACGCGGAGACCAAAGTTAATCCAGAACACAATGTCTACACAGCATCCATTCGATTTTACTCTTTTAAATCCATGAATGATGCACACTATTTCAATACCCAAAACTTGATTTTCACAAAACTTGAATTTAAATGACACAATTTCACATTTGATTTAAATTTCGGAAAAATCATTCCCTCGAGGAGAATTTATTTTCAGATAGAAATGCGTCTAATATTAAATCCTCCACCCAGAAAACAGTTTGCACTATGAACACTGCACTGCTGCAGTCAATATTAATTACGGTAGAAAATGAATAAAAATGAAACATTTCCCGATTTGATTTGAAAAACATTTCAGGTCGAAGATTGGCTCATGGCTAATCCAACACTCGGAACACAATTTGCATCTCACCATTACACTGCTGCAGTTAATATATCCTCAGAAATAGAATTCAAATAAAACATTTCCAGGTTTGATTTGAATTTGATCATCTGTTTCTGTTGTCGAAGTTCATTTTTGGGTCAAAATTTGGCTAATATTTCTTTTAATCTTCCTTTTCTGTTTCCAGATCCAAATATCACTAATTTTGTGCATATTTTGGTTTATAAGATATTGATTCTGTCATATACTCTCTCCATCACAGGAGAACATGTATACCTTTACAACGCAAACTGTAAACTGATTTTGAAGCATCGCATACTTGTATAAATACTAGTATCCCGCAAAATCCACCTGTAACTGTCCATTCTTAAGACAAAAACCTTTTGTTTTTGCATCTGGAAACACAATGGCTTATTCAACAAATTGCTCTGCATCCCTAGCTTACCTGTGACTGTCCATTCCGTAAACAATGAACTTGCCATTGTATGTGTGCTACCTGTCATTTTGTACATTTTATATTTAATTTTCAAAACAAAGGAAATCATGTTTTAAGTAGGAGAAAGGCCTCAAACTGTCCATTCTGTGAGAGAAAGAACTAATCTCGGGCCTACGGCCCTCGATTAGTTCTTTCTCTCACAGAATGGACAGTTTTCGGCCTTTCTCCTTTACTTAATTACCTATTAGTAAATAGAAATCTTTAATTGATTAGCAAGCCTTTGCATTGTCAGATCCTTTTCTGAAAGGACCATTTACCTTTAACAATGTCAGGACAGGTGAGGCAACTGGCTGGTCTTCATGCTGGAAGTGTGTCTTAACTCTGTAATCTTTTTAAACAAAACCATCCAGTGATGTCCTAAGATTGCCAGATGAGGAGACATATACCTGTATTTAAGAAAGATTCTGTAACATGACATAGAATTTTTGCAAAGCTTGATGCACAACTGATGGTAACTTAGGTGCCTGCAAAATAATAAATCTGGCACATATTTATTTATTTGATACAAATCAGAACAAAATTTTTCCTTTTACAGAACAAATTATTTTTATTATAAAGAAAAGAGAAATGCATATGTACTGTGTTAATACATATAACCTGTATTATTGGATATTTTCACCCCATTCTAATTTTTAAAATATTCACTCTTTCACCCTTGAAAACAATTTTGCCCTTTTAAAATTTGATCAGACACATTTGTGTTTAAAAGATATATGCTGCCTTCTTCCAATTTGTCCCATTTTAAATTCACCTACTTGTAAGGAGGGCTGAATGAGAAAAATAAAACTTAACTGGGGCGAAAAATTTCCAGAACAAAGTACCATTACTTGCCTGCCTGTTGTACTATAACTCCTCCAGCCTTACAATATTCTATAATCATTGCATTCATGCGATACCCCCCAGTGGATTGATGGTCTCTTTTCCAAATTATATGCACTTTCTAAAAAGAATGAATTTGTCAATTTATAAAATTTAGTATTACAAGTTAATAAAGACAGTAAAACAATGTTAACAACATTTATATGCAAATGAACCTCTGTACAAATCACTTATGATTGACAACTTGTACGGAATATATCGAATACCCTTAATTTTGACATTTGGAAACTCAGCATTAAGGCCAAACAAAAAAATATGTGTGGTTCCGGTAACACCTCCAAAAAAATAGGGTAGGTAGGTAGGGTTTTTTTTTTTTTTTTTTTTTTTACAAAATGATTTTCTAAATTTTTCTAAATAATACGTATTTCTTTTTGTTAGCATAAGTGAACTATTTTATGTGCAGAGTGTTAGATATGTTTTCTCTTAAGCATATGGATTAGATACGTGCTTTAATGTGTGAATAAAATGTCTTGGGTATTTAAACAGTTGTTTGCTGATTCTATTCATTTGAGTTCATACTCATCTAGAAAATACAATGTTTGAAGAAAATCAGCATGAGCAAATTGAATTATTTAACTGTTATTTGGATATTATATTTCCTTTTTTTAGAATGTTAAGTTTTTACGAAGATTATAAGTGCTGTCCTTGTTTTTAAAGGATGATACATGTATTAATTTCAGAATTGTATATTATAAGTAAAATTAATGGATATCTTAAGCATTATACATTAAATCTTAAATACAGATCATGATTTCTCCATCGGAATCTGCTGCGGAAGTCTTTATACAGGTATATAAAATCTAAAATTGTACATTATAGAATGCGAAAAAACAGAAATATTTTGTGAAGAGCTGAGTGTATAACTCATAACTAATAAATGTTTTGTTTATTTTGAATTCAGTCTTTTCCAACTATGGTTCAGAAAAGAAATGTTTTATTTGTGGATGAACAGAGTGAAGAAGAAAATAAGTGGCATTTCAATGAAGTGTTAAATATACTAGTCAACATTGGTAGGGGGCACCCTAGTTATGAATATGAAACAAATATTTTTAAATCAAAAATAATGAAAACACAGTCTTTTCTTTTTGTAAAAAATAAAGTCCAAGGTGAACATCCTTTTTTTAAAATCAGTGTTTATAAATGAAATTAATTACTTTTATCCAGAATAGTTCTTACTTTACTTAATAATAAATTTTGAATGATAAACTAGAAAATGGACATAAGAGTTCTGCTAAGAGCTGTCAGAGGAAAAGAATGTGACACCTATACTTTGTACAGTAATGTTTAAAACAAAATAAATCACCTAAGCAAGATGAAATAGAATCATTCAAATTTGTCAGAATTACAAATATTTAATATTATTAAAATTTTAAATCCTTTCATGAAACCTTTTTGCCTCATTGAAGACTTCATACTTCCAAGCTCATTTCTCATATATATTGGCGTTTTGCAAGTTGACTTTATTCAGGTAAAATCAGCAGTCTTCTTTTTCACTTTTCCTCATGAACTGTTTTTTTTCTACTTTCGGTTTAAAAGAAACGATCCTGATATAAATTATTTAACAATTTACAAGTTAATTTATCTTACACATTGGGCTAATTCTTGCGTAATCAATGCAATCAAATAAATGTTTTCTCATTTTATCTTCCCCCCTAACTCCAAAAAACGTTACCTGGCCAGCTGTCTGTGTGCTTTCAAGTCAGAAGTGATTTCCTATCCTGACTTCACACCTTTGCGTGCATTAAATAATAAAGGGGCTAATCAGCATGCACTTGTTATAAACCAGCTGTAAACAGAGCAACTAACTGAATCTCGCCAATCTTGGGCTTATTTATTTAATTTTTGCGACCAAAAAAAAACAAACAAACAAAAAACATGGCGCTGGAAAAAGGTATACTGCTGCGCCATGCTAGCTTGCTTTAGATTTAACACCATCAAACACTTGCACTACGTGTTGAAACGATTTTTGCATGGAGGCCGCCATTGCTGGAACTAAAACTAATACCAAAGTGGATGATGGAAATCACAGAAAATTCCGGAAAATAAATACGAAAATTGCCAAAAAAAAGTTTAGGGTCAGGGATCTAAAATAGGGACAGTCGGGTAACGGGAACCACACATATTTTTTTTTATTTGGCCTAATAATATTCCATACATGATTGAGCTGTCACCTGATGAACCTTTGTTATTCTATTTTCTATTTTTATTTTTTATATGCTTTATATGTATATGAATTATGAGAGTAAATGTAAGTCCAAAAACTTATTTTGTGACATCAATATCATACCTGTATTTGAGTTGCCTTTTTGAGGATATACCGGGTAGATTATTCAAAGTCAATGTACATGTAGTCTTAGATGCTGCAGTTCTCTTGTACTTTAGCTATAAAATAAATCTTAATGTATACAATTGTGTAAGATGAAAGAATATTTCAAACACTGCATGAAACAGACCAAAACTTTAACCAAAATATCCTCTATAACATGCTCTCTAAACTGAAGAATATGGTTATATAATTGCAGTCATATCAATTTTGTTCAATGATAAATGCAGAGAGAATTTGCAGAATATATAAAGAAAGTCTTATCGTTGGGATCGGGAAATAAGCAGGTCTAGTACTATCTCTTAATTTAGCTATATAGCTTGAAATAGCTATATAGCTTTATTAAGCTATTCAAAATAGCTTGATTTAGCTATTTATATGCAGTTTTTCACAAAAATTATTTTGGTAAGAAATCGACAAAAAGTCGCATGTATTTGACCATTCATATATGTGCTATGGGCTATCGAAACAACAAGCAAAATCAAAGATAGCTCCAACTTTGCAACTTTTGATTACTTTTAAGCAAAAGATAAATTTCTATTATTTGAGTAACTGTCCACTACCTTGTGTGCATTGAGGCATGGATAAGTATGATTGCTTCTCATTGAATGTACTGAATTATTACCAATCAATTATCTTGTTGACTATAATTGGCCTCCTTTATAAATTCATTGCAGAAGTAACTGTATCAATTGCGTATGTAGCCCAAAAACTTTTAGAACTTTGAGTACAAAGTCTCTTTTGTTTCTATTTTAATGATCTCCCCTTGTTTAAGGGTCACAACCCTAGTTTTAGTATAAACGGAAGCCCTTGGCCCAAGGATACCCTGTGACAAATTTGACAATAATTGGCCAAAGGGTTCTTGAGTTATGGCCCATATTCTAAAAAGTTTGCGCACACCGCACAAATGGCCATAGCATTAGCTCTTTGGGCCTTTGGCTCGAAAGAGCTGAAAATGAACCTCTTACATTGATTTTTGGTCGATATTTTGTACAGTTTTTTGTATAGTTTTTTGATGAACAATGTACAGTATTTTCACCCAAATTCCTGTATTTTGAGGACTGCTGTACAGTATTTGGGCCTAAAAATTATCACATGTATGCAAGGAGATTTTAATGAGTGAGTTTTAAATGCATCAATTTCAGATGATTTCAAGGTTGAGTATCATCACTGCACCAAGGTGCGACTTTTTGTGCATGCTGAGAAAAGTACACATTTAAGAAAAAGTGATATAAAATAGCTAAATTAAGCTATTCTGAATAGCTTAATAAAGCTATATAGCTAAATCAAAAGATTGTACTGGACCTGATAAGTGCTTTCAAACATTGAATACTTAAAAAACTAGACCTACTGACATGCAACAGCTAAATTTTTGTTGATAACTGAAGTGTATTCTGAACAAATTATTTACCCAAACAAAGGTGATGCTGTCACAAGATGACGTTCGTACCCATCTGACACTTACACTACTCCTCCTTAATCAGCTGGTAATAACACCATTATCCTCGAATTCAAGAAAAATCTGTTAATAAATTAGTTGGAATGATGATAACAAAACTATTCTAATCAGATACAAATGTATAATATAAGACTTCTATTTCACCCAAGAATACCCAAGAAACAGGTGACATTCTCTGACTTGTTTACCTGTACTTCGATCGAAATTCTCCTCCTACTTGCTCGCACCCATTCGAATAGGTGATATCACCTATTCATTTCCAATAGGTGATATCACCTATTTGAAAAAGTGATATCACCTATTCGAATAGGTGATATCACCTATTCGAATAGGTGATATCACCTATTCAATTTGAATGAGTGATATCACTTATTCGAATAGGTGATATCACCTATTTGAATAGGTGATATCACTTTTTGGCAGTAAATACCAAAACGGCGCCTCATATAATTGACACACTTTGGACTAATAACTTGCGGCATAAGCAGGAACATTCCATACTATGAAACAATAATGATCCAGGCGAGATGCTCAGGTCCTTGAAACCTAAATGCACCACCCAAGTGCATTTTAATTTATTCTAAAACAAAGAGTCGGATTCCTTCAATCTAATTTCCCTCACTCCAAACCCATTTTTTTTCTTTTTATCAAATTGAGGGCTTTTCCCTCAAGGACAAATGTTTTCTCTTTGGGTAGCTCAGAATCCTATGAATGCCATATCCCAGACTACACACAATCTGCAAAAACTTTCGAAAAGTAATGTGTATTTACCTATGATATTTCTTCGAACTACATCATTATAGTTACCGGTAATCATATTATAGAGGGAAAATTATCCAATCTCAAATATATTTTCAGGAAATGCAAATGAAAAGCACCAGCTATGCAATTTTTAATTGTAAATTGATGAAAAAATTTATTTTAGAATAAACATTTACATGTATAGCTATCCCGGCATTGGGGGGTGGGGGGATTGCATGTAATTAATACTTTTATGGTATTTTAGTTCTTATATTTCTTCAATCGTTATATAAAACATACCTGTAGTATAAAAAGCATTTGCTATCGTTGGAAGCTTAAGACATCAAATATAACTTCAAATTTCATATCATGATTAACAAGCTTTGGCAATTAAAGCAAGGTTGAAGGAAATTTGATTTATCTTAAGATTTTTAAATACTTTTATGGGATACAAATGTTTACTTTTTCCAGTTTTTAGACTACGAACTTGAGTTGCGTGAATAAAAATTGTTGCACGAAAAGGTTTGAATTTCGACTATATTCCTTTGGTTACGGACGGTCGCATAATATTTGGTCCGCCTCGTTTAAAGGTCCGGGGGGACCTAATACGATAACATATAAGGTCCGGCCTGCCTCTATAATAAAAGGTCCGCCTTTGGTTTAATATGCAGATTTTTCTCCTTTATTGATTCGAAATTAATTTGCTTGATTAATCTTTTTAAATTATTTAAGGTATAGTTGTTATAAAAGTGTCCCTCCCAGCAAAATGGAGTTCCAGGGACGTATACATGTATGTACATTGTATATATACTAACAGGGTCAAGTCTTGCGATACCTCGCTAGTTGCTGGATTTCGTTAGTCAATTTTAATTAATTATATTTCTAATACTATGATATATTTCAGTACAAAACCTTAAATTATCTATCAAAAAATTATTAAAAAATTGATGTCAGCACTGATTAACTGTTAGCTCCTTATCGTAGTACATACCTCCCAGGTAGTGCACAAAACAAAAAATATAAAGATGCAAAGATCTGTTGATCGAGTTACCTTATGGGAAAATCATGTACGATCTGTGTCTTTTTATAGTTTAAGTGATATCAATATTATCATTGCAAAATAAAAAAAAAATACATACAATGTATATATAATACGTATACCTTCACTGGCACATTGTTCAGTATACATGGTATATAGTGTTCGTAAGTCCAACAATGATCATTTCATTACAGTCTCTTTCCTAACAACGTTCGACTTCCACTTCCCCAAAAGAATTTTCATATCTTTCGAAAGATATTTCATTATATTATTAATAATAATTATGCATAATTCTTACGATTCATATTGTACCTAACTATAAAATAATTGGAGGGTCACTGTGACGGGAACTTGTGTTACGGTGTACTAGCCTATCCCGTTGTTGTTAAAACAACATGTCTGTGCATTGGGGGTAGGCCTATTGTCTCACTTGACGAAACTTGAAGTCGCATATCCCTCGTGTTTTTTTAACCATCGTTTCTTATTCAGTTAAAGACTAACGATTATTTCATTCTATTGATATTGCCCCGGGGTTAACACTGGTTAAGGAAGATGTGCATTAATTGGCAAGATCAAACCAAAGTCAATCGAGTTGAACATTTTAAGCAATAACCCCCCCCCCCCCCCAAAAAAAAAGAAAAGATTATAAATGGTCTTGTTGTATTTTTGGTGGGTGGGGTATAACAAAATTATGCTGATACATGTCAAATAGTTTAAAAAGTACTGATGTTGTAGACTTTCCTCCCGCATTAATATTTTTTCCCGGAAAAACGAGCTTGGGTTTAAAGACCCCTCCCCCTTTTGGAAAATGAGCCTAGCATAGGATTTTATTTTCGGAATTTTTTTTAAATATTGTTCATTTCATTCCCTACATTTTGTAGTTTTCATTTCTGACATTTTAAAATTTTCATCTCTGACATTTATCATCATAAAGTACTTTTCCGGCAATGAAAACAGAATTGAAATTTCCCTTATAAAAAAAAAAAATTAAAGAATAAATCAAGAACAATTCATTGATTTCCAAATAGTAAGTTCTGCTTATATTTAAAAGAATCTTATGATGATTTTATCCTCGGACACATGTAAGTGTTGTGAATTTTTGTTCATCTTTTCAAATCAAGATAATCAGATTGAATTTGAGATCAGAAAGGTTAAGATAGAATTTATGACATAAAGAAACTATGTTTGAGGGAATAAAGTAATCAAAGTTGAGGGGATTCTGTTTTTCGGTGCTTTCAAACACATATAATTTAGTGGGCATTAAAATTTGGTGATCAAAAATTGCATGATTTATTATTGAAATTATTGCATTTTATTACTAGACTTTGTATGTTTACTAGACTTAGTGTTGATTGTATTGTAAAATGAAAACAAAAAATGTCGGAAATGCAATGCAAAATTTCGGAAATTTTTTTAATGACATGCAGCGAACTTGGAAGAAACAACCCCGGCTTTATTATCCACCATAGGAAATACTCATTACACTTCAGTACAGAATTTTCTCCTTTTCCACCTTCTTACTAGGGAGAATCTTATCCACCCATACTATTTACAGAGGGGTTTTACAGAGCAACTTGACATTTATTTCCCTCTAAAATAAAAAGGAAAGTGTCTGTTGAGTTCGTGGCTGATATAAAAATTCATAAAACACCACCAAGTCGTGTTCTTCTGTTAATATTTTTTATATTTATTTTGATTTTGGTTTAAATTAGATTTTCTACGACTTTTAGCGACTATTTCTTTTTTTTTAATTTACATGTATGTGTGTGTGATGGGGGGGGGGGGGGTTATAGTTCTCTTGTTGCGCGTCATCAACATTACTAATTAAATAATAATATATATCCTTGGTCCCTTCAGACAGATGTTTATGGTTGCATATAGATATACAATACAGTAGACACATGTCATCTGCAAATGTACATAGAGTGGATAATTAATTAACAATAAGGCCAAAATAAAAAGTACCTTTGTTTCCCCTAACGCGACCGACCCAATTAAATCGCGCCGACTGAAATTTTTTTAAAAATAAGATTATTCAAATATTTTTTTTATGTTTATCAACTTTAATTAAATACAATTTCATCAAAATCCTTTTTTATCAGAACGGCCGATTTTGTTCTACTGTGATTTTCATGCACTTGTTGGAAACAAAATGACACCCACAACATGTGGTCACAGAGGGTTAGTTCGCGTCTTTATAAAACAACGGCGATATATCAACCTTCTGCCCTTAGCTTATTAGAATACTACACTCTTGAAACATTTCGTTAATAAAATATACCATGACTAATAAAGAGTGTTTTGGTGGTATTTACAAACCTGTAAAACTAATTTACTGAGTAAGCATGGTAAGGCCCGCTGGATGAGCAGACGAGGGGCCCATCTTGTGAAATTATCAATCAATTTCACTGCATTTTATTTAGAGTTTTGATCTCATAATTAGTTCATCTATGTTTACTATATGGGACCACATATGTGTCTGCATATTTCATCCTGATGAATAAAATTCAGACGTCCATTCTTTATGCCTTTTATTCATGGGTTAAACATCGTGACTATGACATTGTGTATACATTTTTATCATTTTTTGATATGGTTTGGTTCAATTAAATATTGTTTACATACTCTTTCTAAATAGTTTGAAATCATGATTTTAAATTCCTTTGAGAATTGTTAGGATGACAAAATTTTACAATTTGCCCAGTAAAGCTAGGCCTAAAATGTAGACTTGTACTCGGCACTTTCGGCCATTAAGCAAAGAAGGATCTTTTTCGTTCCCGCATCTACTGCGACACAAAGTTTTACAGTCTCATTTGAAGGTCCCGCACTGGGATTTTAACCAGCTCCTTACTTGGAGACTGCAAACGAAATGCTTAAGAACCACTGCACAATTCGAGACCTTTGAAAAAGTACATTGCATGTATAAGCACTGGAAGCTGATAGTAGGTTTGAAAAATATATTAGGATGTTCGGTCTTTGCATATTCGAGAATCTTGTCTTTTTATATAATGATTTCAATAAATTGACACTACAAACTGTGAGATATTTCACAAATTCAATTGAATATTAGTTGTGAATTAATTTACCTTAAATTTTGCTTTTAAACGGCATATGTATGATATTCCGTTTATAAATGGCTTTCTTTTGTACTTTTCTTATTTATAAAGATATTATTCCATTAAATTTCAGAATGTATTTTCAAAGCTGCTGTCGGAAAAAAAAAATTATATACCTACCTACCTACCCAACTTGAGATA